GCCGGCCCTGTCTGCAGCATAACTCACGCCATACTCCTCAATCTAGTGCCAAGGTTAAGAAACCGTGGAGTTATACATCCATATCCCGTTCGTCTTACTGAAGCGATGTTCATACAACTACTGAGAAAACCAAAGCTTTACGTTTTATGTACTATATAGAAGTACATATTTGTCTACTTATGTCTATATATATGATGGAATATAAGCTTAATATCACACTGATTGCTTAGTGATATAGCTACGGGCTATTTATTAATTATTTAAAATAATTATCGGTAACCAACTGACTCACAAAAGCAATGACCTAAACACACTTGCAAAGCAGTTAGCCGAGTAATTATATATGTAACAGTACTCATTAACAAAATAACTACTTCAGTAACTAGCTAATAGCTGATTAACGAAATTAATCTATTAACTAAATACGCAGGTAATTAACACTTTAAAGCCCACTGGGAACTAGAATATGCCACCTGTTTTAACAAACAGTAATTCTGCATTTTGTATTCATGGGTATCTTATGATTCTCAGAATAAACAGCAATTATGTCCTTAAACGGCATTAACCAACTGATCTTTACAATGGTGAAGTTATGTTTCCTTTGTGGTAGAGACTGAAATCTTAATACTCTGAAGATGAGATTTAGCTTCAAAGGGTAAAGTAACTTAGCTACCAAATCAAACCTCTGAAACCTGAGCCTAAACGTACACATTAGCTGTAAGAAGAAGGTACAGATAATCAAATAAATGATGTACTCCCCTTGCTAGAGAAGCAGCTACCTGTCTCGCGTCAAACTGTGTAACTAACCTTCATGAAACCTGCATCACAATCTAAGAAACAATTTTTATAAACAGAATGCTTAATAGAACTAATTCTACAGCTGAATTAATTATGCTGCTTTATTACAGTCTTTCAGCACTGAACTAGAAACCACAGCTCTCCGTCACAAGCCATTTCCAGTTCTTCACCTCAAATCAGTCTGCACGTAGCCGCCATAAGGCAGCAAGTTGTCCCGGGTATTCTGAGAATCTGACGCAATGTCTGGGTGAAGGTTATGTTGCACTGCATTTGGTTTATGTTTCAACAGTTTTATACTGCAAAGCACATCATGGAACGTTATTTTGCACTATGTCACACTGAAATCACATACACATAACCAATAAACGTATTATTACACCACCACTTACTACTCAATGTTAATATCACTGTTGCACACACGGAACTTAACTTCGTTATCTGCTTCCGATTTAGTACAATCGGCAAAATTCGGTTGTCACTTCGAGGAATATTCCCGAACACAAGTAGTTATGCTCATTTCAGGGCGCACCTCAACGCGTGTCACTGGCCTTCTGCATGACAGACACTTGCCGATAGAATGCAGTAGCAGTTACGCTCATTGAGAATAGGAAATAAAACGGACGGGGAAAATATTGAAGAGATTCAAAACAGTTGAGGTACTAATAACGTTTCTTGGCCGTGGGAAGCCAATATCAAGCAGTGTCGCTTCATAGATCGCACAACAAGCGACTCATGTGACAGAGAGCAGTACTTCCATAACGTCCCAAAAACAAGTATACACAATGCTGACGTATCTGTTTGGGGCAACCTGTACCTTCATACGTAAGTTACAGGAGTTATCGACATTATAGGAGCACGTATTCTGACATGGATAAGAAGTATAAATCTCACCATAAGTTAATGGTGTTATTTTTTGTATCAAGGAATTTGTTTCCTTGACGAACGAAAAGGAAGTAATACTAATCCAACTTTTTTTGTAAACTTAAAAGACTTCAATGATCCAAAGGATCACAGAGCAGCACATACGACTTTTGTAAGCCGACATAATGGACATCTGAAGAAATGTCGTTCTTGACAGAAAAATAGAGTCCAAGGAAGAATGGAAAATATTGTTGAGTTAATGAATACTTTATTCAGGGAAAAGATGATGAAGTTTATTCGTATTTAGATTTCCATAAGCGGTGAGTCCTTTTTTTGATAGATATACTCAGTTTATAGTTTAGATGCGTCATGTTTGTGTTCAAAATTCAAATATATATTTATTATTCAAGTCTATACACAAACTTTTAAATTGTTGATGTTAAAATTTAAAATCATATAGCGCAATATTATAACATCGAGATAGATGAATGGCGCAGAATATTAATGGTGATTTTAAATTTTAACATCAACAATTTAAAAGTTTGTGTATAGACTTGAATAATAAATATATATTTGAAGATATACTCAGGCTTTGTCTCGTCATGAACCTGTACTTAAAGGAAACCGAAAATTATATTAATTCCTGTCATTTTCAATAAAAACTCTCAGTTATTTCCTAACACGTATTCCTCAGAGGACTGCAAGGCACAAGATAAAGCTTTTATTCTGTCCAAACACACGCCATGAAATCGTGAAAGGGAACTGGAGGTAAAGCTCGTCTTCGGAACCCGATTGAGGTGAGTGGTTAGCTCTACGCGAAGATCACTTTTCTATCCATCGGACTATATTTTCTGCATATTTAAAGCGTCTTTCCAAAATACCTTTCACATTTTCACCTTGCATCTATTAACACATTCTTCGGAGTTTCTTACCACCTTGCTTATTTACAGAACACTAGTTAAATTTTAGTGAAATATGAAGTCGGACAGAATGACTATCGCTACATTTATTTTTTCGAAGCTTAGTCTACGTCCAACCAAGCAATATTCCGTTTTACCTGATAAACTCTTTATGTGGTAATAACTAATATTTCAAAGGATTACACGATGCCTTATTATCCAATCAAGTTTTCCTTTGTTTAATGTGACTCACCTGGCTTCTTTCCTGACACAAAGCCGAGTTTCACAAAAATCCAGAAAGCAGACAACGTGAAAAAGAGCAATTTGTGGTAAGAGTTGGAGGGGGAGAAGAAAGAGGCTAGCAGGATGGTAAAAAGTCATGTTTCTTAATTACTGCTGGTACTGGGATGGGCATTTTTCTGGTCCAGTACTGCCGCCCTCGCCTCGTCTCCTGAACTGACGGCCAAATTATAACTTTCTTTACCACGTCTGTCCGGTCGTACAGCTAGCCTTCTGATGGGTCTGCTTCATTAGGCCTTGGGCCACGGAACCACCTCTTGGTGATACAAAAACAATAAATTCTGACGTGCAGTTCAACAGCTAATGGCGCCAGCGGACGCAATTGTGATGATACCGGTGATGAATAATGTTAATAACAACGATAAAGATCAGACATGTTTCTGGAGAAGAACAGAGACAAGAAAGATAAAAAGAAACGGAAGACGATAGTCGTATTAACGGATAAGAAATCAGAAGGAAGAGGACGTCTCAAGACAAAACCACAAAATTTGGAGGTAATTTAAGTTTACGTCATCCTTTTAATAAATATTAATTTTAGAATAAATGTAAGAATAGGAATAAATAAATGACAAAAACTCCGAAACCTCTAAATACACTTTCAATCCGTTTGGAAAGCCTGAAGACAAGTGACCACTTGGATGATCTAAGCGTAGGCAGGAGAATAATATTAATTTGATCTTAGGGATTTCAGGTATAAACTGAATTCGTCTGGCTCAGGATATGGATCGGCGGTAGACTCTTATGAACCCTGATTCCATAAAAGGCGCTGAATTTCTTGACTGCAAGAGCGTACGATTATCTTTTCAAGCACGACTGTGTTCCATGGAGAAAGGAAGTTTCCACTTGTTACATGCGTCTGAGAATTAAATCGCTGAAATCTTGGAATGTTTGAAACGTTATAGCGCAGTAAGTGGTGAGTTCGATTTGATGGTGCTGATTGGTGGAGCGGAAAAGCGGGATGTCACTGTTCAACTGCCCTTCACAAGGCTTCCAATATTACCCAATTGCTACACATTCAGCCTGAAGATGGCAAATAAAATGTCTGGAGAAACGTTGGATAATTTTCAACATTCGACACGGTTCAACCCCGAAAGACGAGGAAACACATAACTACGAATTTTTCGCACAAGGTAATGAGTATATGGAAACAGAGAAATGGAGAATGAAAATGTTTAATAAAATATAAGGGACTAAG